CCATTCGAAATTGTACATCAAAACACAAACATCTCTTTCTTTAAAAATCAAACACCATTTAAAAAAAAAAAACATAATATTTAGTTTTTGCCTAAGATATTTGTAAAAATACCATAGACAAATTCTTCCATAGATTTGAAATATTTCTATAGAAGATTTGTCTAAGGTATTTATACATGTCTTAGGAATATATTTTTTTGTTAAAAACATATTGTTTAGTTATGTTTGCCTAAGATATTTGTAAAAATAACTTGGACAAATGTTCCCATAGATTTGAAATATTTCTATAGGAGATTTGTCTAAGTTATTTATACATGTCTTAGGAATGGTTTTGTAAAAAACATATATATAGTTAAGTTTTTGCCTAACATATTTGTTTAGTTATGTTTGCCTAAGATATTTGTAAAAATAATTTAGACAAATTCTCCCATAGATTTGAAATATTTCTATAAGAGATTTGTCTAAGTTATTTATACATGTCTTAGGAATATTTTTTTTCATGACATTCTTTTGGTGGTAAATGGGATGTAATGGTTAAAGTTGACCTTCTTTGGTCGTAATGTAGAAGTAAATATTAGTCCCAAAGTGGTAGTAAATCTTGATAGAATTTAATTGGTCGTAATGTAGAAGTAATTATTAGTCCCAAAGTGGTAGTAAATCTTGATAGAATTTAATTGGTGGTAATGTAGAAGTAATAATTAGTCCCGAAGTGGTCGTAACGCGTGATAGAATCTAATTGGTCGTAATGTCGTCACTACTAGTCCCGAAGTGGTCGTAACGCGTGGTCCCTAACTGGTGGTAATTTGACTTTGGTCGTAATCTAGAAGTAGGTTACGACCACATTACGACCACATTACGACCAAAGGTAATTCCCTATATAAACTCGTCGAGCAGAGCTCACTTCGTCGTTCACAAGTACTCTCTCACTAGCCACCACTTTCCCTCTCCTCAGGTATGTTTTTTTTTTTTTCGGTTTTAGTTTTAGTTTTAGTTTAGGTGGTAATTAGTTTAGGTGGTTAGTTTATGTGGTTAGTTTAGGTGGTAATTAGATTAGGTTTGGAATTGATTTAGCACGGGATTATATTATTTATATTAAATAATTAGTATTTAATTACTTTTAAAATTATTTTGGAATTAAGTTTAGTTGGTTAGTTTAGGTGGTAATTAATTAGATTAGGTGGAATTGGAATAATTATATTAAATATTAGAATATTTATATTAAATAATTATTATTTAATTACTTTAATTTTAAAATTATTTTGGAATTAATTGTTCTAATCATAATTTTTATTTGAATATGCAGATATGGCCCGGAGAAAGAGATTAAGAAACCACGCAGCGAGAAGCCAAAATGCTTCTTACGGCGAAACATTTCTCGGTTCGTCGTCATCGGATCCATCAGCTAGCAGCTCTGGCACAGCCCGGGAGTTTGTCGTCCCAGAGACCGCGGCCCAAGGCACTCAACCAACTTATATGCCTCCTCCTTCGTTTGTGCCACCGCAGCAGCCTCTTCAGTTTGACGTGCCTCCATATTATCCGCAGCAGGATCATGATCATCAGCAGTATCATGATCATCATATGCAGCAGCATCATGATCATCAGCAGCAGAAACATCATGATCATCATCAGCAGCCGCAGCATCATGATCAGCAGCTGCAGCATCATCATCATCAGCAGCAGCAGCATCATGTCCCTCCTCCAGTCCATGAAGCTGCTCCGCCTCCTCCTCCGGGTGTCCATCCGGATTTGCTTGTGCCACCGGATGCTCCCTACGCTAGATACACGGTGGAAGATCTTCTCCAAATGCCGGGACGAGAAGGTTTACCCATCATCAATCCAGATAGACCACCAAACACTTTCTGGTAATTTTAATTATAATTTTTCCATATATTTATATGAAATTTTCATTACATATATTTTCATCTATAACATATTCATGAATTTTCATTTTTTTGTAGGTTTCCAACAGATAATTGCTTGGGACGGAGCGTCGCAAACATCATAAGGTCGAACTTCCGGGAGCCTCATCCGAACTGGTCCCTTACACCGGACCACGTTCGGAGGACTTGGTTCAAATGCTTTGCGGTAAGTTATTTTATTTCTTAATTAAATAAATTTATTTCACTTTTTAATTTCATTAAATTATTTAATTATTTCTCATTTTAATTATTTTTCGCAGCAAAAATGGAACTGGTCTATTGCGGTCAACGAGACAGTGAAGGAAGGGTTTTACGAGAAGGCGCAAGAACGCCTTAAGAATATTGTGGGCGATTGGAAAGATAAGTGGAGGTTTGATCCCGATGTCAGATTATATCAGCGATCACGTTTGGAATGGCTTGACGGCTTATTGGAGTCTGCCGAAGTCAGTTAAGAATTCGGCCCGTTGCTCCAACAACCGAATGGCGCGTGATGCTGAGGGTAATTTGGTCGTTGTGCCCCACACTTCTGGACAGACTTCTCACGCAGAGAAAGCTCTACAAATTGTAAGTACAAGCTTTTGTAAATGTTTTTTTTTAATTTTTAATTTGTTTTTACCTTTTTAATAATTAAATTGTTTTATAATTGATATATTAATTAATTAGTTTAATATATTTAATTATGTTGTTCTGTAGGCTGCGGTGGAAGGAGCACCACCGTCTCTTGCCCGACTTTACAAGTTGACCCAT